ACAGCCTTGAGCTGCACCAGGGGAGGTTTAGGTTGGACATCGGGAAGAAGTTCTTACAGAGAAAGGAATCAGACATTGAAATGGGCTGCCCAGGGAGGTGGTGGAGTCCCTGCCCCTGGGGGTGTTTAAGAAAAGACTGGATGTGTCATTTAGTAGACAAGGTGGTGTTTGGTCAAAGGTTGGACTTAATGATCTCAGAGGTCTTTTCCAACCTAGTTAATTCTGTGATTCTGTGATTTGCACTGGCACATACCAGCCAGAATCCCCATCAGGGCACCAGGACATCTTGCTAGGGCATCAGGGTATGTCCTGGGGCATCCCTGCCTGGACATCCTGCAGGGGCACAGGGACATCCCTGTTCAGGCATCCCCAGCGAGGCACTGGGATGTCTGCACATGGATATCCTCACCAGAGCACTGGGGCAGCCCAGTGTGGGCACTGGGCATCCCAGCCAGCACCTGTGGTGGGCACTGCACTGTCATTGCTGCCCTGCAGGGCATCTGGGGCATCCCTGCCTGGTGGCTCTGCTGTGGCACTGGCACAACTCTGCCACCATCCCTTTCAGGTCAGAGTGGCTGCCCCATCCCTGGAAGTGTTTGAGGCCGGGTTGGACGGGGCTTGGAGCAATCTGGTTTAGTGGAAGGTGTCCCTGCCCATGGCAGGGGGGTTGGAATGAGATGGTCTTTGGGGTCCCTTCCAACCCAAACCATTTGTCACAGCAGCCCAGCTGTGCCCACAGAGGGGCACCAAGGGTGTCACAGCCTGGGGTCCTGCATGGGCATTGGGATCCCTGCTGGAGCACTGGGACATCATGGCAGTGTGGGGGCACTCCTGTGTGGGTGCCCTGGGACACAGGGGCATCTCTCTGCCTGGGCTCTCCTCACAAGCATCACTGCCTGCAGCTCCCTGGGGAGTTTGGGATGGGACTTCAAAGCCACATCCAGAGGAGTGCTGTGCTCCTCCAGGGTCCTTTTGCTTAGAAGATGGGTTTGGACCAGCAGAAGGGATGTTTCTGCATTGAAATCTCTCAGATTCAGTGGAAAAGGTGTTCCTATTTTCAAGAGCCATCCCCTCCTCTGAAGTTGCTGGGGTTTGGTGTTTGGGTTTTTTTGGGGTTTTTTTTGTTTGTTTGGTTTTGTTTTGTTTTTATAAAACGACCTGTGTAATTCAATATACATTGAATTCTATTCCTAGAGAGCCCCTCCAGCCTACCTGTTATAGTTCTCTTGGTTGTCTGCCCATAGCCTGGCTCCTGGCACCCAGTCCTCTGGGTCTGGCTGAAATGTGCAGGTGGAATCACTTCTAGTGGCAGTGACAGCAGGGTACCAGTGCCAGGAAGATTATCAGTAAGTAAGACAGTTAAACAACCTGTAGCCTCTGGGATTGTGGGTGTCTTATTTATTTTGGAGCCTCTGATCAAAAAGCCTGGAAATGCAGTCCCACTTCAGAGGCAGTGAGTCAGAGGAGATGAAAGAACAATCACCTGACTCAGTCTTTGCAGACTCATCCTTTGGGATAAGACACCTTCCAAAACCTGGCACTGAGCATGCAGGAAAGTCTCACTCTCTTCTGGGGTTGTGGAAGTGGGGTGAGAGCTGCTTCAGAGTCCTCTGAGATGCTCTGTCCCAGACTCTGCATTCCCAGCAAATGCCCAGAACTGTCCAGTGGTCCTGGGGCTCTTTAAGTCCCCTGTGCTATTCTTGCTGCAATTGCTATTTGATTTTCCTAAAAGAAATAGGCTAATTAAGTGGGAAAATTAAAATTAAAAAGAGAAAAAGTATTTGGCTGTTAGTGCTCTGATATTCACCTGCAACAGTTTTCAGTGTATCTTGGGCCAGAAAACTGTCCTCCCAATTTGGAGAGGCGTTGGATTTGGTACACAAGGCAGAGCAAAGCCCAGCCTCTCCTCTGGCTTTGCTGACTCCAGAGTGAAAAGGTTGGAAGCAAAAGCAGCACTCAGGAGTCCTGGGTGAGTTCTTGGACAGCCCAGCAAAGGTCTGGCCATGGGCACTGATTCAGGTCTTCAAGGCAGGAGACCTCCAAACTGCCTGTACGAAGGGAACCTCTAGAGATGGGACCTTCTTGGGGTAAAAACATCTTAAAAGTTTGCTGGGCAAAGCCTCGGGCTGCAGAGCTGCTGCTGGGGGCACGTGGCTGGGACAGCCGGGGCCCCAAGTGCTCTGGTCTGACCCATCCAAAGCTGCTCCTCTGTGTTTCTACTCTGCTGTTGCTCCTGCTGAGCCCTTGACATCTCCAGCAGTCAGAAACACTTTCCCTGCCTTCCCTCTTTTGCCCTGAACCTCAGGTCAGGTAGAAAGGTGGGTTAGAGATAGAAGAAAACGCTGATGCTTCAGAATGAATCCCTGTTACCTGGGGCAGGGGAAGGTGCACTGCTGGTGCCTCCACTCCAGTGGAGTGCCAGTAGATGTGTGAGAGCCTTCCAGAAAGACTCTGGGGACAACAGAGCCAGTGTCCTGGGAAAGACAGGATCTGCAGGCACTGGGGTACAACGACTCATATCTGCCAGATATCAAAAATAATCCTTCCTAGGCTTGAAGGCTGGGAAAGTTTCCAGCATTTCCTTTTCTTTGCCCAAATAACAAAACTTCAGTCAAGGAAAGTGGTTTTGGGAGGGATAGCTCACACCATGTCACTTGTCATCAGGGTGGCTGCCTGGGAAAACATGGACTGCACTCAGCTCCCAAAGTCAAGCTTGGACTTCTTTGAGCTCCAAGTGACAGCAGCCACTGTAACGACCAGAGTTCACAAGCTGATGAACTCTGAATACAAAATACGTGCTGCATCACCCAAGGCATAGCATGCAAGGAGAGGACTTGGCCTTCCCCTCAGTGGTCACATCTGTATGAACAGCCCCCAAGGGCTTCTGAGCTCCCAGCCCAGCTGTGTCCCCTTCCAACCAGGTGACTTGAGGGGACACTTTGCTTTCAGGGCAGGTCACCAAGGCACAGCCCCTCTCCCCTGTGCTGCTTCCAGGGATGTGGGCACTGGCAGGTCTGTGCTGGGCCAGGAAAGCATCTGGCCCCAGTTCAGTCCCTCAGGAGCACATTGGTTCAGATGATGCCGTGGCAGCCATCCAGCTGTGGCTGGAGCACAGCTGGGTGAGGCAGAGCCATGAACAGTCTGATGGCTGCAGCCCAGGTGCTGCCTGTCTCTGCTTTATTGGGCCCTGCTCAGCTAACGTGGTGCTACCCTGGGGCTGTGGAGGAAGAGGGCAATCCCAGAGCTGAGCCGGAACAGACCAGAGGGGCAAACCTCACATTGCTCCGGGAAGCACAAGGAATGAGGCCCACAATGGAGACGAGTCTGAGGGCTGGGGCAATGCAGTCCCAGCCACTGCAGCACTGACTCTCCACTCCCTGTGTGGAGCCGACCAGAGCCGGGGGCTTCCCTTCCCTTCCCTTCACCAGAAAACTCCCTTTTGCTGAGGAGGTGTCAGTGCTCTGGCTCTCAGCACGCATCTGTCTCTGCTCCAGGAAGGGATTTGCCACTGAGCTACAGTGTGGATGGCCCTCGGGGTTCAAGAGCAAAGAGATAAAGGGCTTCTTCCAGCTCCCATTAGCAGAGATTCTCGAGATGTATGAGCCTGCGGGCTCCCCTCTGCCCCTCCTGGGTGAAGGAGTTCTTCTCTGTGTCTCTCTCCCTTAGCAGGGGAAGCATCCTAAATCTTCAAACATTTTTGTGAAGGCACCTTTCATCTTGTGACCAAAACAGGATCCAGGACAGGGTTTAGAAGTCCATGGCCACCACACTCCGGGCATCTGCTTGAGCAGCTGCCAGCCCAGTTCTGCCTGGCCTTTTCTGGAGCCAGTAAACACCTGCCCGCAGCCCGGCCGGGGAGCGCTGCCCGCTGTCCCTCCCTCCCACTGTCCCTCTCCCCCGCTGTCCCTCTCCCCCGCTGTCCCTCCCTCCCGCAGCCCGTGCCGCGCCCCTGCCCGCCTCTGGCAGCTGCCTGGTGCCATCTCGTGGTTAAATCCCTTCTCCGGAGCATCCCTGTTTCTGTCCCGCCACGACTAGAAAGGAGAGAAGCCCGCGGGCATTAATTTTCCGCGGGGTTTTTCTCACTCCCCTGACCCCGGGTGAAGTCTCCGCTCGGTGCCCCCGTTCCCAAGGGGCCGAGCAATGAGTGTCTTGCCCGACCCCCCTCCCCTGGCGCCGCTGTTTTTACACCTCCACCGTCTCCTGTTCCGGCAGGGGAACATCTCGCCGTGTTTCGCTCCCAGGATGGCCAAGCCCACGTGCTGGACGCCCACTGCCCTCACCTCGGGGCCAACCTCGCTGCCGGGGGGCGGGTCCGGGGCGGCTGCATCGAGTGCCCCTTCCACGGCTGGCAGTTCCGAGGAGAGGATGGAAAATGCACCAGAATCCCGTATGCTGGAAAAGGTGAACGTGCCCCAAATCCATGGAGAGCAGCCACAGAAAGGATAGTGCCCCACGTCCCCATTAAAAGCCACTTCATTAGGGGAAAGTTGTCTTTATAATAATTCACCCTCCATCCACTCCCCTGTTTCATGCAGCACCCTGGTTTTCCTCTGGGTTGCCCATGTCCCAGTGTTCCACAGGAACAGAAACACAGGGTTCCAGTGCCCTTCCCTATGTTAGATGGTAACTGGGACTTCAGTTAAATAATACCCTTCTTGGTTCTGACAGTCCCACATCTCCTGCATTCCATAGGCAGGGTATAAAAGCAGATTTTTAACTCTGAGCCTTCCATTGGGTCCCTCAGGGATGGACCCTGAGGAGCTGTTGGGTTCCAGAAATGATTCTGTGCTCTACAGTGACAGCTTATGCCACATCAGTGCTGAAATGCATCCCATGAACATGACAGAATAGTTTCTCAATGGGAATATTTTTCTCCTTTTAGGGCTTGAAAGGAACTTTTGGTTGGGATTACGGAAAGCTCTTCACATACACCCACCATGTAGACATGGTTTGCGTTGACTGTGTAGGAAGAACGTCTTAAAGTTCATGTGGAGCAATTATTTGATCTGGCTCCACTAACGAATTTAAATCACCAATTGCTTACCTCGAGTTTTGTTTGGCTTGTGCTTCTTAGTTATTGTCCTGAGAAGTTCAACTTCATTGGATTTGGATCGATTAGGATAGTGATGAAACATTGATTGGCAGCAAAAGTCACTCTTTCTACTAAACAAACTATTTCTCCCAAAGTGAAAGAAACATTCCATCTATATGGGCAAGAGAACCAATTTATAGATCTCTCCAAACAGCAATTTCCTTTTCTGTGTGTGTTATTTTCAGAAAAAAGATTAACACTGTATTTTTTTTCCCCACACATAATCAGGAGCTGCATTCAAATGAAAAGTTGGTTCCATGCACTGAGCAATGATGTGTTTCACCACAAAATGAGGGAGAATATTCTGGACATATGCAAACACTCACACCAAGATGTGTCATTTCATCTGAAATGGATGAATTCTGAGTCATTATTATTTGGAGGTATTAAAAGAATAAAACTGCAGCCAGCTGCCCTGCTCCCCCCTCCAGCCCAAATGGGTCAGGATGATTTAAACAGATTTAAAAGCCATCTGTGTTCACACAGGTACTTTGTTGGAGCAGGATTTTGGAGAGCTCAGATGGGCAGCTCCTCCAGCCCTGGGCTCAGAGGGACCCACAGCCAGACAGAGCCCCAGAACCCAGTGTGGGGCTGGAGGAAGAGGGGAAAGGGTTTGGAGCACATGGAATGGCTGAGGGAGCTGGGTGGGGGCACAGCCTGGAGAAAAGGAGGCTCGGGGGGACCTTAACTCTCAACAACTCCCTGACAGGAGGGGGGAGCCGGGGACGGGGTCGGGCTCTGCTCCCAGGGAACAAGGGACAGGGCAAGAGGAAATGGTCTCAAGCTGTGCCAGGTGAGGTTTAGATCTGATATTAGGGAAAATTCCTTCACTAAAAGGGTGGTCAGGTGTTGGAACAGGCTGCCCAGAACAGTGATGGAGTCACCATTCTGGAAGGATTTAAAAGATGTGTGGATGTGGCACCTGGGGACGTGGGTTAGTGCTGGGCTTGGCAATGCTGGGCAATGGTTGGACTTGGGGATATTAAAGGTTTGTTCCAACCTGATTGATTCTGTGATTCCATGTCTGCATGGGGGCAGACAAAGCCCTTTTAGAATTTTAGTGAGATGTATCCCACCCGAAGCACCAGGTTTTGTCAATCAGAAATCACAGTGATGGGCTCCTCCTGCCCCCTCTGATATCCATTGATTGAAAGAGAATCATCCTTTCTCCCACTATTTCACTTCCCACATGTATAAGGCTGAGTAAGAAGGAACTGCTCTGTGCTCTCCTTGGTGCTCGTTTCCACATTAGAAAAAAAAAATAAAAATGAAGGCAACAGCCTTCCAATCCAGTAGAAGCTGCATTTTCTGACAATCAACTATAAATGCCAAAATTAATTTCACTGAAGTGATCTATTCTTAAAGCAACACATGATACTGCAATGTTATAGCTGAGAATGACTTGAACCTGAGAGGCAGCAATGGCTTTTACTCTCTCTGCACATCTAAAACTGAAAGCATCTCCTGTTAGTTCACTGGAACTGGGGGGGGGGATCCATTCATGCAGCAGCCACTTAATTATTTAACCAGGTTAAAGAGGCAGCTAACCAGCCAGCCAGGTTGTTCCTTTAAAAACTTATGCAAAACACCAAACTGAAATAAAACCAATTAAACCAAACTCCTTTCTGTGACCCTTGTAGCTGCTGTTCCTCTTCAGCGCTGGAAAGCTGGAGCAGCGCCACCACGAGTGTGTGCCACAGGAACATCTCCCCTGAAGTGGAGCTCAGAGCTGTGGTTCAGCACCAGGGGCGGGGTCGGGGCAGCCTCGGGCTGTGGGGTTTAACTGGTCCCTTTATGCCCCCGCAGTGCCGGATTCCGCCCGGGTCCGGGTCTGGCCGTCCTGCGAGGTGAATGGGATGGTGCTGGTCTGGTACCACCGCCAAGGGCTCGATCCCACCTGGGCAGTGCCCGAGCAGTGCGAGATCACCTCCGAGGAGTGGGTGTTCCGCGGGCAGACGGAGCACCTGGTGGACGTGCACATCCAGGTAGGGAGCTCGGTCCCTCCCCCGTGGGGCATGTCCAGGCCTGGGGCCTCCTATAGCCAGTTCAGAGACATCTCCTCCCAGTTAACCAGACCTTGGCAGTGCCATCACTGCTGCTGGCAGAGCTCTGACCTGGAAACACCCCCGTGCTGCGCGCCGAGAACGCAGCATATGCTCCCCAAACACGGAGCGTGAGCTCCTCGAGTGGAGAACAGCTGTTCTGGGTGCTTAAAAAGAATCTGCTAATTTGCTTTGACTTACAACTGGTGTAATTTAAAAAAAGATTCTCTAAGAGCTGCGGCACTTACCGTCAGGAGGTGTCTCAACCCATCGATCACCCCAGTGGAAACGCGCAGTTAGTTTGCTGTTAATCTTCATAATCACCATCACAGGCTGACAAATGGGCCGTGGAGAACAAACGGCTGCTGCCTCTCTGTGGAAATGAGTCTGGAAAAGGGGTCCCATTTTGTGGCACTGGACAGAAGGGACCTGGGAGGGAGAAGGGGCAGCCACAGATGGGGGCTCCTCCTGGAGAGGGATGGGAGGCAGCAGCAGTTCTGAAACTGGGTGATGCCTGGAGGTCCTGGGGAGATTTTTCTGTGCTTGCTGCTGTGCAGAACACCTGTAGTTGTAAAAATCAGGGACAAAAATGACCCTTAATCTGGAGCACAGCAAATCCAAAGGCAGCGCCTGCCTGCTGGCTGCATCCCAAGGGAAGAGAGGAGATAGGAAGGAACAGAGAGTTACTGGGAGACACAAAAAAGAAGCATGAGGCACAGAAGATGCAGTTCTGGGAGTGTGAAGAGGAGCTGGGAGAATCTGGGGGATTGAGGGGATGGTAATATTTATTTTATGTCTTTTCCAGTGCAAACCACTGCACACAGGTCTGTACTGGGGCCAGTCTGTGCTGCTTGCAGAGCTGGTGGGAAGCTGGTGTATTTGAGTCATAAAGCAGCTAAAATGTCTCAAAAAGTGATGTATTTGAGCAGGCTGGTGGGGTTTAAAGGTGTATCAGTATGTGAAAACTAGACAAAAATGCTTTATTCATTACAATTATCATAGGGCCAAAGCAGGACTTCTTTGGAGTCCCAGCTTGTGCATCCACACAAGCGAGCACATGGAGAGTTCTGTGAGCTCAAAATGAATGCTGTTTCAATTATTCCTAGATGCTTGTTAAGAGCTGGTCCCAGCTCACTCTGTGCTGAGGCCCCTGGTGCCTCTTGCTGCCTCAAGACCTGTGAGCACCTCTGCCCTGCCTGCCCTGCTCTGCCCTGCTCAGCTGGGGGCCCGGGGCTGTACCAGGGTCACCCTGGGGCTGTCACAAAGCTGCTATAAGTGCAGGCAGCTCCCACCTGAGTCAGCTCTTGCCAACAGCAAATTGTTCCCCCATCAGGAAATCCCCGAGAACGCGGCCGACACAGCTCACTTGGCTTTTCTCCACGGCCCAGCCATTCTGGGAGGGTCTGACCCGAGATACACGAGGTCCAGGCTGTGGGACTTCATGAAGCACACGTGGAAGGTAAGACCCCAGCTCCCCTCTTAGCCATGAGGTCAAATTCTTCCAAACCAGGTTCCCTTCCTGCCTCAAAGCATCTGTCCCCCCCCACCCTCTCGGCTGCACCTCCTGCTCCAGGCTCTGTGTCTCGGAGGGTTTGAGCTGCACTCCCTCACCTGTGCTCATCTCCGGATGCTCCTCACAGCTCTTGTCCCCATCTCACGCTGCCCCTCTCAGCCTGTGCCCCCCACCCTCGGGCTGAGCTGTCCTTTCCCCTCTCCAGGCAGAGTGGCAGCCAGAGCCCGAGCCCAACGCGCACTGCTCCCGGCTGCTGCTCCAGCACTCCGCAACCATCTTTGGGAAGCGCCTCTCCCTCATGGATCTGACGGTTTCAGCCAGGCAGGTACGTCCTGGGCCGGTGACCACCAGCGTCTCAAGCTGAAGGGCTTTGTTGCCCCAAAGGCTGAGAGCCCTGCCAGTCCTGGTCAGTGCCACAGAGCCACAGAATGTTCTGACTCGGAAGGGACCCACAAGGATCCCCGAGTCCAACAGAATGGCCCGTAAAGGAATTGAACCCTGCTCTTGTCAGCACCCTGCTCTGACCAACTGAGCTCATCTTGGGGTCACCTTCCCTACCAAGTGCATCCGACGCGTGGGCCAAAAAGCACCCACTGGCACTGGTGCTGCCCCAGAGAAGAGGAAGGGGTCCTAAGCATTACTGTGCCACAAAACAATTAAAAAAACCACCTGAGCAGACATTGGTGGCAATCCTGAAGGACCTTCACACCACATGGTCACAGCTGGTTACAGTGCAGAAGTGGGAAAGGCAAACAATCAAGAACAGTGTGTCTGTAGCCCAAGAACAGCCCTGAGATAATAAAATAGCTGACACAGACTAAGAATTACAGGAAAATAGAAACAATGCTATGAATCAATTGGAACCACTTTTGTTTCTGGATTTTTTTAATGAAATGTGAAGTTTGCTCGATAAAACATTTCTAACTTTAGTCTAATACATTTTTGAAGGAATTTGACCTATTCCCACATTAGAAATGCAGAACAAGTCATAGAGTCACAGACTGGTTTGGGTTGGAAGGGGACCTTGAAGATCATTTCATTTCAGCCCCCTGCCATGGGCAGGGACACATTCCACTAGAACAGGTTGCTCCAAGCTCCATCAAATCTGGCCTTGGACACTCCCAGGGATGGGGCAGCCACAGCTTCTCTGGGCAACCTGGGCCAGGGCCTCACCAACCTCATGGGAAGATTTCTTCCCAATATCTAATCTGTCTAATCTAACCCTGCCTGGAGATGATAACAACTGACAAAGTTGTGACTCAGGGCCCTGAGGCCATGACTTTGTGCCTGACTTGATGAAAAGAGTAGCAAGCCCAGCCCAGGAGACATCTCAAGGTGTGGGGGTTCCTGTACCCAAGGGCTGGACCACCGGGGGCTGTTCCCTGAGGATGTTCTGTTGCTCTGCAGGTGGGGCCAGGGCTGGTTTACCTGATCTTTGAACACGCGTTCCTGGGCCGTGGGATCATCCTGCAGACGGTGACTCCCCTGGAGCCTCTCCTGCAGAGTGTTGTTCACAAAATCTACTACCAGAAGAACATCCCAGCCATTGTTCCCAAGTTCATCCTGAGGGCAGAGTGTGTCCAGGTGAGGCCCCTGCAAAAGAGCAGCCAAAGGGATTTGGTTCCGTGGAGCTTCGTGCCTGGGAGGTGTGAGAAGGAAGAGCAGCTGCCCACATGGGCTCAGATATCCTGTGGGAGCAAAGCAAAGACCTGGGGAAGGTCCTTGTGTTGCTTGATGTGATCTTTCCTTGTCAGCAGCCCCAAAAAAATCAAACTGGAGGTCAAATAAAGGGAGTCCCTGCTGTGGGTCACCTGCTGAGGGTGGCAGAGAGGTGTTATCCCTCTCCTGTGGGTGGAAAGCTGGGACACAAGGATTAGGCTCTTTAGCTGCAGGAAGTCTTTGAGGGAACTAATCACTGCATCCAGGTTTCCAGCATCCCAGGCTGGTGCTTTAACATTATCCTATCACCTTTGGTAAGAACTGTGCCAAGAAATCCTCCTGTTTTTAAATTATCGTGAAATTTGGCAACTCCTGCTACTCCTGAAAGAGGTTTTCCAGGCTTTTACCACAGAGATTCATGGAAGTGTTGAACTCTGGAGGTCTCCATTTCAACATCCCAGCTGAGACATGGTTATTGCCAAATTCAGGTCAAGCATGGCCTTGAAGGCCACCTCTGTTGGAGAGCGGCCCCATCTCTCCAGCTCCAGATGAAGTTCAGATGCCAAAAACCTACCCCAAGTCAAACTTAGCTGTGCTCCCTCATATTCTATGAATACTGCCTTAATATTTTGCATCTTACTAATGTGAAAGAGCAACACTCAATTCTGCAGCACCTTCTTCCCAAAGCTTTCTCCATGTGTGCCTGAGCAGAGTGTAAGATGTGGATGCTTTATTTATAAAGCCCTGGCTGGCTGGAGCAACCTAATGAACTCAAACTCTCAGGTGGAGCAGCTCCTACCTGCACAACCCCATGACAGGGGCAGTCTGAGCTGGAAGTGGCTTTTTTGGGCTAAACTCTGCTGGCTGCAGACAGAGCCGTGGTGTTCCGTGTTCCCTCAGCAGTCCCACGAGGGCCAGTGGGGAGAAATGTGAAAAGTAAATCAGTGTCACACAAACCTGCTGGTTCAGCTTCCCCCCCTGAGTGAGACCCTCCTTCTCCCCCCAGTTTGAGCGGGATATAACCATCTGGAACAACAAAGAGTACCTGTCCAAGCCACTCCTGGTGAGGGAGGACTCCGGGATCCAGAGGCACCGGCGCTGGTTCTCCCAGTTCTACAGCGAGGGGAGCGCAACGGCCCCGGCACGGGAGGAGGGCCTGGACTGGTGAGGACCTGGCTGCCCCCTCACTGCAGGAGCTGCCAGAGGCTCTCAGGTGGGTCCTGCCCACCCTGGCTGGTGGCAGAGGTGCTATGCAGGCATCACCAGTGTAACAAATACAGGTACTGGCACAGGGAGCAGAGCCTGAGCCCTGGTGATCCTTCTGTGTCCGGGGCACCAAAGCTCCAAGGCTGTCCTGCAGTGTGAGCTGAGTGTGAACTTCAGGTTAGAATAATGGAATCACAGAAACCTTGAGCTGGAAGTGACCCACAGGACCATCCACTCCAATCCCTGGCCCTGCACAGACACCTCAACAATCCCACCCTGTCCCTCAGAGCGTTGTCCAAACCCTCCTGGAGCTCTGGCAGCCTTGGGGCTGTGCCCACTGCCCTGGGGAGCCTGGTCAGTGCCAACCACCCTCTGGGGGAAGAACCTTTTCCTGAGATCCAACCTGAGCCTGCCCTGACACAGCTCCAGCCATTCCCTGGGTCCTGTCACTGCTCACAGAGAGCAGAGATTGGAGCTGCCCCTGCACTGCCCCTGGTGAAGAAGCTGCAAACCCCAATGAGTCTCCCCTCAGTCTCCTCAGATTGCCAGAGCTGCCCTTGAAGTGTCCTTGTCTCTCAATGCTGCAATCATTTTGAACAGTTCTGTTTTCATCTGGCCTTTTATTGCCCAGAGTGGCCTTTTATTGCCCAGAGTGGCCTTTCCCTGCTGATGCTTCTGCAGCATCACCTTGGCTGGGACAGGCTCCAGCTCTCACATGGGCTGCAAACCTCACAGGAACTGCTCTAGATCCTCCTGTGTTTGGTGCTACATGTGCTGTATTGAAGGGCTAAATTCTGCCTGGCTGCTTTCCCTGGGGAAACTTGTAATCCCCCCAGGCAGAGCTGCTGTGGGTCACCAGCAGGGCTCTGACAGTTTCTCTGTGCCAAGCAGGAGCAAATGCTCAAATCCAGGAGCTTTCCCAGGCTGGTGGCTCCCATTCCCATGCACTGTGCACCTCCCTGTGCCTTGTGAATTCTGCACTTTACTGGGGCTTCTAATTCCTCCTTCTGCACTATCCCAGAGCAGGACTGGGAGCAGGACCCTGCCAGAGCAGCCCCCTGTCTGTGCAGAGCTCACTGCCCACCCCGGGAGCACCCTGGGTACCCTGTGCCACCTGTGCCACCACCAGTCACATCTGCCCACTGCACTTCCAATATTTTGCTATTAAATGTCTTTTAAAACTGAGCTCATGTTCACAGTTTCTTGTTCTCCACTGTTTTGGGGGTGCTCTTGCCAGGAGAAGGAGTCCTGCAGCTGGCCCATGCTCCCCTGACTCAGGAGCCACAGGGAATCTCCAGCAAGGAACTTCATAAGAGAGCAGGAGCTTGGAGAAGGAGCATTTGTCCAACTCAACAGCCTGAGCCTCTCAGGGACCTGAGAGCTCTAATATGTCTTGGTGGCCCTGACCAGCCTCACCTGGGTTGCTTCCTCCACTCCCTGCCCACGGCCCAGGAGCCCATTTCAGCTCAGCTCTGGCCCCTCAGCCCCTGCCCTGAGCGATGCTGTACCTCTGACTGACCTGGACTCTGACCACAGCCTGACTTCCCAGCTGGACCTCCACCCTCTCCCATCCCCACAGAGCTGCCCAGTCACTGCTGGGCTGTGTCAGACCCTGGATACCCTCTCCAGATCCTCAGACCCTGGATACCCTCTCCAGATCCTGGAGATTTGGAGATTGACTTCCCAGCTGGACCTCAGACCTGCCCCACTGCCATGAGCTTGTCCCATGATCTGACTCCACGACCTCTGGGCCTGCCAGGGCAGTGAGACCCCCCTCAGCTCCCAGCACCCCATTCCTTAGGGAGCAGCTGCCCTGGCAGTGATGGGTGATGGAGAAACATCAAGAGGAAACTAAAAGAACTGAGATGTTACATGACATGATGTGGGTCACGATGTTCACCTAAAATTATGGGGGCCCAGGGCCACTCCCCCCCACCCCCAGCCACAAACACACACTGGTACAGAGCTCTTGCCACACCTGGGCTGTTGTTCCCTGCTCCTCTCTCTGTTTCCACATACAGGATCTCAGGATGAACAAAACTCCAGGGAAATTGCTGAAGCTCAGATTAGAGCTGGTGAGTTCAACCAGCTTTGTTAGATCCATCAGTCCCTCTGAGATGAGAGGAAACTGGGGGATACCTCCAGCAGAGCATGAATTTGGAGCTACCAGTTCCATTACTGCTAAAGCTAAAGTAGTTGTGTCCTGTTAGGGCAGAAATTAGAGAACTGAGAAACACAGCAGGATTAGCTTATTAGCAATCATTTTTATCCTTTTAAATGGCTCTAGCAAAAAGGACAACTGAGTGCCAGGAGCCACTGGTGTGCCAAGGAGCACCATCCTCCACTCTGCTGGGCATCCTGGCTTTACATTATCCACTTTACGTACGTAGATTTTCAAACAAATCCCAACCCCTGTCTGGCAGGACCTGAGGGCACCTGTTCTGACTGTTTACTAAAATCCCTTTGCAAACCTCCTGCAAAGCCACAGCCATTCTTACCATTATAAACTGATAGTTGTACTTATTATTTTGGCTTATCTTCACACTTGACCAAGAGCCAAGAGCTTATCCAATGGCCAGACCCATTGTCACTCCCATGTCTTTGAGTTTTGTTTTTTCCCAACTAACAAATTCACTACAAATTTCCCAATTCTGTAGCACAGTGGTTTGGTTTTGTTTTGGTTTTTTGCCTGCTTTTTGCAGAGCGGTGGGTGCAAGGTTAAAGAAACCCAGAGGACATCAAAACAGGTCAAAGGAAAAGACACGTGAAGGGTGATGGACTTGTACCTTAGGATTTTCCAGTGTTAAGGCCTGACTGCCTCTTTTGAGTCCTGGTGTATGTACTTGTTCCACTTGGGACAATTCCTGGTGGTCTCTGGTTTGTTTGGAGGTGGGTCCTGGAGCTCCAGAGAGCATCAGTGAGTCCCTGCACACAGAACCAGCAGTGCCCCACTCATCAGCACATCTCTGGGACCCCCGGGACATCCTGGGGCAGGCCAAGCCTGTCATGGCCTGAGCCCAGATTTCTGTGCCCATTTTGGTTCCCACTATAAACAGCTGCCAAGGGCCTTGTCCTGGGGAGAAGGGAGGTTGCTCAGTGCCCGCTCAGTGCCCACCCAGTGCCTCTGTTCCCTGGGGTGAAATCAAGCCCTCAGGTGGATCTGCTGGTACAGGTTTCACCTCTGGCCCTGTGAGTCCAGGCTGCCCAGCACCAGCTGGAACAGCTCCAGCAGAGGAAATCCAGCTGAGCTGACCCTGCCTGGTGGTGTGAACACCAACACCTGGGTGCAGCCCCCAAACCACCCAGCTGCCCTTGGGGTTTAGGGCCCTTCCTGATACAAACAAACCTCTCCTCGGTGAGGGAGGAGCAGCTCATGGCGCTGGGAACTGAAGGGATGCTCCAGGAAGTGCTTTGGGGAGCGCTGGGTGCCTCAGGCACGTGGTGCCCAGTGTGGAGTTCTCTGGATGCCAAGTTCATATGGCTTCCCACTGCCAGAGGGCAGGGTGAGATGGGATATTGGGGAGAAATTGTTCCCTGTGAGGGTGGGGAGGCCCTGGCACAGGTTGCCCAGAGAAGCTGTGGCTGCCCCATCCCTGGAAGTGTCCAAGGCCAGGTTGGACTGGGCTTGGAGCAACCCAGGCTAGTGGAAGGTGTCCCTGCCCATGGCAAGGGATGTGGAATGAAATGATCTTTCAGGTCCCTTCCCACCTATACCATTCCACGATTCCATGAGATCCACCAGAGACCACTGCTGGGATCCAGGTCACTTCCATGGATGTTCTCCCTCCTCACAGCAGGACATCAGCCCTGGGGAATGTCCCAGTCACATGCTTGAAAAATAGAAAAGCTCAGACACTTTTCTTTTTCCTAAAGGTTGTTTTATTGTAAAACCATAAATACAACACTGACATGAAAATCCTCAAGCAACGGATGCTTTCTTACAGTTACAGTTTGTCTTCTGCCTTGGCATCAACTCTGAAAAGAATGTTGCAGAAACATGTCTCTAAGGTATTTCCAAATAACCGAGCTCTGGCCTGGAGCGCTCGGCCCCTTTGGAAGCTAAGTGGAACTATTCCTTCTCTCCTGTGGAATATTTCCATTCAGACAGCAACAGACTTGTAAAAACAGCAACATTTAAACACCTTGATTTTTTTTTTTCTATAATAATCCTTTTCATTTGACGTCAGTCTAAGTTTCAAACAGCACTGAATTCATTTAGCTGTAAAAAAAACCAAAAAACCAAACCAAAACCAAAACAAAATCCTAAAAAGAAAAAAAAACAACCTCAGAACTTGAGTTGGCCTCAAGCGTTCGTATATCACAATGAAAATCAGCAACTCAACCCCGTGCAATATTGCTCTCTAGTGAGTCATTTGATCCACACCAACAATACATGAGACTTCAAACAGGTTTTGTTTTGTTTATTAACACAGCAAGTGTGACATTAGATAACCTTTTAAATACAGTACATGGTACAGCGCGGGGCCAGCTGCCCGCACGTTTCCCGTTATGAAGACAAAGCCAGCGGTGGCGGTTTATAAAAATATTGTGTTGCTACAAAAGTATAAATTAATGCTACCGGTATTAAGAAATATTAAACACATAAAACTTATAAGGATTAAGAAAAATATTCATTAATACCTGTAGAAAACTCTGGCCTAAAAAAGATATTTTTTGTATATTTTTTGTATATTTTTTTTGTATTTTTTAAGATGACATGAGTGCGCTCGCGGGCGGGGCCGCGGGCGCGTCTGTGGTATTGCCTAGAACATCTGCATCTACAGAAAGGAGGGAAATGCACACGAGTTACTGAGGCAGGGAGGGCGAGAGGGACAGGAGAAGTTAATCTTTGCTTGATGGAACAACAAGAATTGAGCCCCTCCAGAGGAGGTTTGGGAAAACGGACGTACGGGCGAGGAACAGCTTCTCCTTCCAGACTGGCTGCAAACAGGGATCTCCCAC